TTGGGAGCGTGGGGTGGCTTCCATTATCTTACGTCACGCGCCGAAGTGTGGAGGGAGAATCTAAGAACGTGTGACAGTTTCTTACACGGGTTGGGGGGGGGGGGGGGTTAAACGATCTTATGTGATGTCAGACATTACATTGAAAAAAAAATCATGCATATAAAATCTGAAATGGACATCGTTGATGAGCTTTCTGTTGTGCACGATGCGTTCTGAGGAGATGGTACCACTTTTTAAAAAATATAAATATAATAGTTAAATAGGGAAAAGTGTCTTATTTAGTTGTCAATTTTTTGAAACATTTTTTTTTTTCAGTTCGAAAGTCGTGTGACGTACTTTAGGGTGGGAGGGTGGTTGGGGGCGGGTCTGATATTTCTGACAGATTTTGACAGGTGGAGATAGAGGGCGAAAACTGTCCTGAAGCTATAGCGACGCCCTCTCCCTGACCCAGAGTATAAAAAAAAGAAAACAAAAATGTTCCGACTCACCACCACGATCAGGTCGGCTGTCAACTCACCACCACGATCAGGTCGGCTGTCAACTCACCACCACGATCAGGTCGGCTGTCAACTCACCACCACGATCAGGTCGGCTGTCAACTCACCACCACGATCAGGTCGGCTGTCAACTCACCACCACGATCAGGTCGGCTGTCAACTCACCACCACGATCAGGTCGGCTGTCGGGTGCAGTCAATGAATTCACCTACTTTGGTACTCACTTGAATCAAGTATGACTTGAGAAATCTTTGTACCAAGTCGCGTAGATCGCCCGTCTCACTGCTTACTGCACTGGGTCGTCTCACTGCTCACTGTACTACGTTGTCTCACTGCTTACTGCACACTGGGTGATCTCACTGTTTACTGTGCTACGTTGTCTCACTGCTTACTGCACTGGGTGATCTCACTGTTTACTACTGTGCTACGTTGTCTCACTGCTTACTGGGCACTGGGTGATCTCACCGTTTACTGTGCTACGTTGTTTTGTTAACGCCAACAGATGACTTCGTCAACTCTCCAGGGACTGATAAGGAAAGCGGGTCAGCCGAGCCACGTTTGAACATTAGGGGAAAAAAAATTTGATTTGTTTTGTTTTTAATTTCACCCTCGCGCCCCCCCCCGGCCTCAAAATACTTCTATTTATTTCTATTTAATCTGAGTGTGTGTGTGTGTATGTCAATGTGTCAGATATTGTGTTGAGTCTGTTAGACATTGTGTTGAGTAGACCCAATATTTTACTTAGATACATTAGACAACTATTCTACAGAGCGGTAGAGAGATGCATCGCTTGTTCAATGTATTTGATTACTCGACACAATACTCCAACCTCCCCTCCCCCCCCCCTCCTGTGTTTCGTCTGTCTAGCTTTCAGTTAAAATGGATTTTCTGTGGCGATTCGGGAATATTTATATCCTAAAACTTATTTACCCGTCCAAAAAAAAGGGAGAGAATTTATTGAGAGATAATTAAGGTAAAGACGTTTAAAGGGGATACAACCGATCATTGAACATGCTACGCATTCCTAAACTTGTCTCTCTTGCTAAAACATGATGATTGCACCCCAAAAAGAATATTTTAAAAAAAAAAATTAAAATTCATAATTTCTAAAAAAAAATTTTTTCAATGTTTTCTATCTCTTAGCGCTAGTTCCAGACAGACTTATGTCTTCGATTATTTTATTTGAAAATGAATGAAGCAAAACTAAAGTGAGTCAAAAAGAAAAAAAAAATAAAGAAGTTTTTTTTGAAAAATGCTATTGGTGAGCCGCCATCAGAGGCGTAGCTAAGGAGGGACAGGGGACATACTCCCTGGGCGCCAGACCAGTTGGGGGCGCAAAAATGTGCTTTGATATTATTTTATTGATGAAAAAAAATGGGTTTGAGAGCTGAAAAAAGAAAGGTAGGCGCTTTAAAATGAATCTTGTCCCCGGGCGCCAAACACTCTAGCTACGCCTCTGGCCACCCTTTCATTTTTTAAAAATTAATGTTTACACTCCTATTTTGGGGTCTGCACGAAACGTCACGGAATTCCAACGCGTTTGGGAGCGTGGGGTGGCTTCCATTATCTTACGTCACGCGCCGAAGTGTGGAGGGAGAATCTAAGAACGTGTGACAGTTTCTTACACGGGTTGGGGGGGGGGGGAGGTTAAACGATCTTATGTGATGTCAGACATTACATTGAAAAAAAAAACATGCATATAAAATCTGAAATGGAAATCGTTGATGAGCTTTCTGTTGTGCACGATGCGTTCTGAGGAGATGGTACCACTTTTTAAAAAATATAAATATAATAGTTAAATAGGGAAAAGTGTCTTATTTAGTTGTCAATTTTTTGAAACATTTTTTTTTTTCAGTTCGAAAGTCGTGTGACGTACTTTAGGGTGGGAGGGTGGTTGGGGGCGGGTCTGATATTTCTGACAGATTTTGACAGGTGGAGATAGAGGGCGAAAACTGTCCTGAAGCTATAGCGACGCCCTCTCCCTGACCCAGAGTATAAAAAAAAGAAAACAAAAATGTTCCGACTCACCACCACGATCAGGTCGGCTGTCAACTCACCACCACGATCAGGTCGGCTGTCAACTCACCACCACGATCAGGTCGGCTGTCAACTCACCACCACGATCAGGTCGGCTGTCAACTCACCACCACGATCAGGTCGGCTGTCAACTCACCACCACGATCAGGTCGGCTGTCAACTCACCACCACGATCAGGTCGGCTGTCAACTCACCACCACGATCAGGTCGGCTGTCAACTCACCACCACGATCAGGTCGGCTGTCAACTCACCACCACGATCAGGTCGGCTGTCAACTCACCACCACGATCAGGTCGGCTGTCAACTCACCACCACGATCAGGTCGGCTGTCAACTCACCACCACGATCAGGTCGGCTGTCAACTCACCACCACGATCAGGTCGGCTGTCAACTCACCACCACGATCAGGTCGGCTGTCAACTCACCACCACGATCAGGTCGGCTGTCAACTCACCACCACGATCAGGTCGGCTGTCAACTCACCACCACGATCAGGTCGGCTGTCAACTCACCACCACGATCAGGTCGGCTGTCAACTCACCACCACGATCAGGTCGGCTGTCAACTCACCACCACGATCAGGTCGGCTGTCAACTCACCACCACGATCAGGTCGGCTGTCAACTCACCACCACGATCAGGTCGGCTGTCAACTCACCACCACGATCAGGTCGGCTGTCAACTCACCACCACGATCAGGTCGGCTGTCAACTCACCACCACGATCAGGTCGGCTGTCAACTCACCACCACGATCAGGTCGGCTGTCAACTCACCACCACGATCAGGTCGGCTGTCAACTCACCACCACGATCAGGTCGGCTGTCAACTCACCACCACGATCAGGTCGGCTGTCAACTCACCACCACGATCAGGTCNTGTTTTGTTAACGGCAACAGATGACTTCGGCAACGTTCCAGGGACTGATAAGGAAAGCGGGGCAGCCGAGCCACTTTTGAACATTAGGGGAAAAAAAATTTGATTTGTTTTGTTTTTAATTTCA